AGAGAGAGACTTATCAAGTTATGCAACACAGGACCTAAGTTTCTCAAAGGTTTAATATGCTAAGTAATTCTAATACTTATTTTTTAAGACAATACTGAAAAATTGCTTTTCAAATACTTTTTAAAAGGGGCAAGGGCAGAAAATAACTTTAAATCCTGTTGGAAAAACGTATCACGTTCCAAAGTCACTCCTTAGCCATAACCCATCTTTGCATCTTAATTTCTCATTACTCCCAAAATAACCGGCAGACACAATCAGATATTTCAACATTCCTCTTAAACCTTGCAGACCTACTTCTCTATATCACTGTTCTTTCTTCCAAGAACGCTCTCCTCTTTCAGCTAGCTTAATTCTCTCTCTCCAAGATCCATGCTGAGTTCCAGTAAACTTCCCCCATAGTCACAGCCCAGTTCTCTCTCCTCTAAACTGCCAAAGTACCTGTATCATCTCATTCTTTGGTACTGATGACATACTACTTTGTATAATAGGTTATCTATTAATACATGTATGTCTGGTCCCACCAACCAAACTACAAGCTGCCTTAAGAACCATGTCTTGGTGCCCAGAGTAGTGCTTTCGCAAAGTAGGTTCTCAAATATTTAGCCAATATAACAGACATTAAGGAAAAGGGTATATATACCTTCAGTCTCTCTCTTCCTACTTCTGGTTTGATGAGCTTTTTCAAGAGCCGGTTTTCCTGTGACTTTCTTTTTTTCCCTCCAGTCTCTGGACAAAGAATGGAGTTACAAACTTGAATGGTAGTTTTATATTGGAACAAGGGAACGTTCATTAAACTCTCCAAATTCTGAAATGGCCCAAACTTTTCTCTGTGCGCGACAATGTTGATGGACTTTCTTCCACGAAGTGATTTGAAAGCTTCAAGTTCTTTATTAGATGCTGTATTCAACACATGCAAGATAGAAGCCTGCTGTTCTGAAGAGAAGAGCTTGTCAACTGCATTTCCAGACTCCTTTGTACTTTCATCACTAAAAGCAATGTTGGGAATCATTTTCTTAGTGGATTTTTTCCGACAGCAGGAACGAGGTAGGGCCTGCAACAAGGATGACGCTAGTGGAACTGGAAACCATCTCCACCTCCCTAAAAGAAAAAATTAGCAAAATGTCAATTGGGATGTTCTATTTCCTTAGTTGTTAGTTGTTGCTTGATCAGAACTTTTGCAAAGTGCCATAGACTTTACCATAATTTAAGAACTGGTGGACTATATTAAGTTCTCCTGGGGAATCGTCATTAAAATAAGTGTAGTTTTATAACCGTATATATGTTTAAACAAATAATAGGGCTTTTGTTGTTTTTACAAGACATGTCTTGTGATTTCTGTGGATAAATTCTAAGTTTTACTCCCTAGAAATCTTATTTTATGCTCATCAAGAAGCATGGATTTAAAACAATGATTTCAACTGCTTAACGGTTTTGACATTTTTAACTTTAGAGAATCTCTGTAACATCTGTTAAGAAAATTTATTTTTACTAGTTTCTCATCCGGTGGAACCAAATAAAATTAAATGTTACAAGTTTACAATAAATGGTTTGGCGGAGTGGTAGGTTTGAGAACGACTTTTATTTTCTTCTGCACACTTCAAGATTTCTACCATGGCTGTTTCTGCAAGTAGAAGAAAAACCATATAAGGCACAATTTTGTAAAACCAATGGAAAGTCACTCTGACATTGCAGCCACAGGTCAGTAAGTGGCTGACAGAATCTGAACCCTGAGCCATCCGCACAATCCAAGGAGCCGCTCAAGGAACCGTAACTCAGGGAGGTACAATCGTGCGAGAGGCTCGGGGGCCGGAACCGCCGCCCTCAGCTCAACAGGGATTCCAAAAGGGAGCCCTGGACCTGGGACCTGAGGGAGAAAATACTCCAGTACCAGACAGAGGCTAGGGGCAGACGGGAAGTTAACCCACTATTTCAAGCACCCTACCTCCCGCCACGAGGACGCTAAGGGCGTTCATCTTCCCGATAACATTAGTACGTTCCCACAGTCCAAGCTTCCTCCACTGACTTCCGGTTCCTGCGTGCTTCGCGCAAAAGTGCCCTGCCTTTCGGCGGACAGACTCCCGCCGAAGCAGCGTTCCGGAGCCGGGTCTGAGGTGCGTACCCCTAAGCAGTGGGCCGCCGGCGGTTGGGGTGAGCGCCTGCGGGCGGGCGCCAGCAGAGGCTCGGTGCTGGGATCCTGAGTCCCGGGAGGGGCGACAGACTCATTCCACTGCGTTCGGGAGACGTTCTTTCCCTCACCGGCCGCTGACAGCAGCTGAGCCGAATCTCTGGGAACAAAACGGCTAGACCAGTTTTAGCTTGTAGTTGGCGAGGTCCTGCCTTTAGGTTTATCCCGAGTCAACACATACCGGGAGTGCCAAAAAAAAAAAAAAGTGCACATTTTAAGAGATGTTATCTATTTTCGAAGTTGAATTGAATTACGGTAGCAACGTGCAGTATGATGTTCACTCAAAAGATGGCGTTCATCAAGTGAATGCCAGCGTCCTTCATTGCATTACAACTTCTAATCCAGTTTTCTCCGTTCTTAAAATATGTATACATTTGGGGGGGGGGCACCCTCTGTAGATTGATGAGCTCCTATTGGGGCCCTGCCCGGGTCGCAGAGAACGGAGTTTGGTGGGGGCGCTTAGACGTTTACACAAAGAACCCTAATCGAATTGAATGGGAGAAAAGCGAGGTGTTTCGCGAGCTAAGCAGAGAAACGGTGTAGAGGCCGGAGGTCAGGTAAGGGCGAAGTAGGAGGCGGCGGCTTTGGCGCTGAGCCTTGACAGAGCCGTATCCCATTTGGAAGGGAGGTGAGGCTGGCGCCACATTTGTTTGGGCCTTGACTGCAGGATGGAGCGCCACCAGGTAGCCGGAAGATAGCCTCCATACTGAGGCCTTTGTGGAGTCAGATTGGAGGTGTGTTTCTAGCAAATTGGCCATATATACACTAACATAAAAGTGTGAGGCTGGATCGGAGGTGAAGAGGCTGGGCACAAGGAGACGACGAGTTAGGAAGCTAGTGTATCTTCCCAAGGACGGGCAACTAAAAGGAAGTGAACTTGGGAGGTGTAAGGAGAGTGGAAAGAAAGGATTCTTTCTGGAATATGGGGAGATGTTAGCGAGTTTTGTGAAAGCAGTGGCGTCAGGAGAAAGGTAGCTTTTGGAGGAGGAGGTGGTGGGTTTGTGTTTTTATGAGGCGACAATGTCTGTGTACATATAGTCCAGGAGGCAGTTGAGATGTGGGGAATTGTAAGTATTTGCAAGGATTACTTACGGGAATTCTAGAAATCCAGGCAATTTCTGGGGAACTTAGGAGTCTCACAAAAAATAAAATCAACTTTTTGAGCAAAATCCTCTAAATCAATAGGAAATAATTTCCTCTTAACTCCAGGGCTTATTCCACTTAATGGGTTGACTTATACCCCTCAAAAAAAGATGTGACGAGGTCCTAGACCTTAGTACCTCAGAATGTGCCCTTATTTGGAAATAGAGTCATTGCAGACATAATTAGTTAAAATTAAAAATGGTGTCACCCTGGAGTGTGTGTGTGTGTGTGGGGGGGGGGNGGGGGGGGGGGGGGGGGAGATGGCTAATCCAATACAACTGGTGTCCTTACAAGAAGACGACCATATGAATGCCATGTGAAGATGGAGCCAGAGCTTGAAGTGATGCACCCACAAGCCAAGGAAGGCCAAAGATGGCCAGCAGCGGGTCATCACAAGCTAGGAGAGGCATGGAACAGATTCACATTCAGAAGGAACCAACCCTGCTAACACCTTGATTTCAGGCTTCCAGCCTCCAGAACTATGAGAAAATAAACTTTTGTTGTTTTTTGGGGTTTTTTGTTTGTTTGTTTTTTGTTTTAAGCTGAGCCATCCTGCCACCCGTTGGCAGCTCAGTGGCAGCTCAGCTCGGGCCAGGAATTGAACTGCTGTTGCTCAGAGCTCAAACTCTTGAGCGAGCTCTTAACCAACCGAGCCACTGGGCCGGCCCTAAACTTCTGTTGTTTTAAGCTACCCTGTTTGTGGTAAATTGTTACAGCAGCCCTAGGAAACAAATGCATGAAGCCATTAGGAGCCCTGGTGTTTGATGCTTGCAGAGATGATGTGGTTCATTGGCAAGATGCAACAAATCACTTGTCACATGCACCACTATAGACAGTTTTTCATCCTCTCTGAGCCTCAGCTTCCTCATTTGTGAAATGGAGATAATGGTACTTGCCTCACACATCTGCCAAGAGGATTTCTCATTAGAAACTGGATGTGGAGAACTGACAGAATAAGGGTTCAATAAATGTTAGTTCCCCATTAAAGCATTACCTCGTCTTGGGAATTAATTATTAATGAGCTTGAGGGGAAACTCCCTCATTCCTTAGAACATTCATTCAGAATTACTTTGACTGGAGGTGGGACGTGATAGGGAAAGAAGCAACCACTATGCATGATTTACCGTAATCCATGCATTCAAAATGAAAGTTGTCCTCTTCCCCAGAAACCAGCTCTTCACTTCCCTGTTTGTGTTGCCCAGATTCCCGTGTCCCTGGCTCCTCCCACTCTTTCCATCACTATGGCTAGCCTGCTATCTACTTTCTGTTTTTAAAACTTTTTTGACCATCACCCAGGACACATAGATGTATGTGTGAAACAAATGCTTCGTTCAAAAATACTTGTTTTTACCTCAGATGCACCTCGATAATTTCTATTTTATTTTTTAAACACAAGGATCCATTTTTAAACCTACAAGACTTCACGTGGAGATGTCTAGTAGATAGAGATGTAAGTGTGAGAAAAGCACAATAAGTGAAGGAGAGAATTCTGCGAGCAGCAATATTGGGGGGTGAGTAGAGGAGTCGAATTCCCCACGTCTCATCTATGGCTTTACCCCTACTGGTCCCTTTCTCTCAGGTGCTCTCTCCCCAAAATGGACTGAATTCTACTCACCTTTTAAGGGCTAACAAAGGGCCTTGCCCAAGAGGCCTCCCTGTCTCCAGAGCCCTTCTCTCAAGCACTGATTCCTATCTCCCTCACAATACATACAGTCTTGAAATATAGAGGGGTTTTTTTTGTTTTGCTTTTGACTACATGTCTTGGTCCCCTTATTTGACTCTATACATTTTCCCAAAGTGATCTGGAATGTACCAAAAATCCATTCCTGGTGTCCCAACATCTCTCCTAGAGACAGAGGCGTTCAGTGGTTGTATTCTAACTCTAGAGTCAATCAAGTCTGTGTTTTAACCCGGTGTTCCAATCTCAGCATACTAACTGCATGAGCTGGGGCAAGTGATGTGACCTCTCTGAGCTGCTCCAGGTCCCTCTAGAGTGCGCAAGTGTATGAGGGATACAGGTCATAATTACATCCCCTGTAACACTCAGCACATTGCCTGCCACATATGGGGATTTATTGAGTGTTTGTTGAAAAAGTAAATTAATGATCACATGTATAACACCCCAAAGATTACTTTTGTTTGGGAAAGACATTAAAAATGAGTGCTCCATAACTTCATGACCTTGGCATAGGCAAACATTTCTAAAACATGGCATAAATGACGAGATAAGTAAAGAGTTAACAGGGGCGGGCAGGCTTGTGAGCCAGAAGAATGGGACAGGCAAGAAGTTAACGGAGGAACTTAAACATTAACCGCTTGGCTCTGACTCCCCTGGCCGGCACTGCACCTATAAGCTGACATCCATCATAACCTTACATCCATCATAGGTGGGGACAGAACAGTTCCCAATCACAGCAGACCCCCTGCAAGCTGACATCCTGCTTAGGAAAAATATAAGACTCAAGCACTCCTCATCGGGTCAACTGTCCCTTTTGGGCTCTGTCCTGGCAAAACTTCCCTTTGCCAGAACTCTCTCTCTGCCTGACTTGCAGTAAAGCTCTCTTGCTCTCCCACTTTGTAGAGTCCCCTGAATTCCTTTCACATTCTGCGAATGACCAGGAGTGAATTCTACGCCAAGACAATAAAAAGCATTAATTATGAAGGAAAATAATAGATAAATCGTGCCTCATTAACGTTAAGAACATCTGTTCATTATGTAAAAAAATAATGTAAACGGAGCCACTTTAAAATAGAGCCAGAGCTGCCATCCCAGAGGAACTGCCTTGCAAGTCTTGCTCCTCAATGGAATGTTAAAACAAGGCAAAATAACCTTTGACTGGGCTTAAAGCGACAGTGTCCCAAAGAACTGTTTGCAAAGATAACAAGAAAGCAGATATTATGACAACTAGACTGATGACTAATGGACAGAACATTAAAAACATTGCTTAGAATCAGCTATGCTAGCTTATCTGTACCTATAGAAATGCCTGCCTTCTATTGGTGTAATTGTTCCCCTTCCCTTCCTCATAAATACCCCTTAGTTTGTCTTCTCATCAGAACACTATTTGGGTTTCTGCCTGAAACAGTGTTTCCTGAATAGCTATTTTTTTGGATCTCAAATAAATGCTTGTTGCCCCTCATTTTGGCCTTTTATTTTTAGGCCAACAATTGAAAGACACCAATGAAAAGGTGTACAGAGTAAAAGAAATTTGCAACACATATGACCAACAAAGAACTGTATCCAGAACATGTAAAAAATTCCTACACATTAATTAGAAAAGGGCAGGCAAACCAGCTGAAAAAAAGTGGGCAGAAGACTTGAATAGGTACTTCACCTAAAGAGAATGTTCAGATGATCAATTAGCAGATGGAAAGGTGTTCACATGTATTAGTCATCAGAGAAATATAAATTAAAACCCATTCTGTGATACCACTACACACCCACAAGAATAGCTAAAGTGAAAAATATTATACCGATAGAGCAATAGATCCAGGGTTGGCGAAGCTGTGAAAGTCGCATACATGCTGATGGCAGTGTGAATTGGTAGAATCACTTTGGAAGTTATCTACTGAAGCTGAACATATGTTTAACTGAGGGCCCAGAAATCCCACCCTTGGGTATATATTCAACAGAATACAAACATAGGCGCACTAAAAGACATGTAATAGGTTGAACTGTATGTGTCAAATTGCCAATATTT